CTAACTAACTAACTAACTAACTAACTAACTAACTAACTAACTAACTAACTAACTAACTAACTAACTAACTAACTAACTAACTAACTAACTAAATCAGTTTTTTTTGTTTGTTACAAAATTGTACAAAGATAAAAAATAAAGCTGCTTAGAGAAAATACATCCCAACACCAACACACACCTTAAAGCTCCTCTAGAGTCTGGGTAACTTCTCTCAGTAACCTTGGAGCAGATTCTTTCCATTTTTTACACCAGCCTGATTGCAGTCTGCAGTGGCTGATTGCACCAGTGAAACGTGAGCCGAACTCCGTTTATTTGTTGATGCATGTTTCTTGCGAGCAGGTAATGATTGTGTGAATGTGAGAATGACAGAAAGCACACTGCAACAGTTCAGCCACAGAAGTCTTTATTTGTTTTTTTGTTTATTTCCATTATTGATTTCAAAAACTTCCACACATTTAGTCAGCATGAGTTGTCATGATCTGGCTTCCTTTTAAAAATATCCAAGCTGTGAACTCACATTTGCACTTTACTAAAAAAAAAAGAGTTGTCAGAAATTCTCCAAGCTGTCCACGCTTGCCGCCTCAGGGATCGTCTTAATCCCGCCTTGAACTTGGGCTGTCAAAAAGTGCACAGTTATTAGAAGGTATAGATCTGAATCGCCCTGCGTGTTTGCGCTTGCTTTAACCCGGTTCGCCTCCTCACCTCAACCCTTTCTTTTCTCCCTCCATATTGTTTCGATTTAAAACGCCGGGTCTACCTGGAGAATTCCTCCCCAGGTTCCTCTTGAAATCGAACGCTGGATTCTTAAATTCTTCAGCTCACGCACATCAGGATATAGTTAATGTAAAGTGTAACCAAATTTCCTCTGCTAAACTAAAAACATCTACAATAAAATTTGAGCCAAGTTCCTTTTTTTTTTCCTAGGGAGAAGGCGTTGAGTACTGATAATTTGAAGTGTGAAAGCAATTGGAATATTCACAGAGGCCTTGCACAGAATGAATAGTTGAGCTTTTATGCTTCATATGGTTTGAATTTCCCCGTAAATGCACCGAAACGATCCAATCCAATTTTTAGACACAGAAACGCGAAGAAAAAAGTTTATGTTCTGCTTTAGTTGAAATCGTTGTGGACATATTTTCTCACACATTTAATAAGACTCTCAAATAAAATTATTTTCTCATTCATGTTAATGCGAAAGCTTCCACAAAGTCCGTCAGATTTAGAGAGCGAGGAACAACTGTAGCAAAGAAGTTGTTCAAACTGCTAAAAAGTTAAAGCCTTTAGATCCTAAACGTGGTAGAAAGCGTTGATTTCATACATGAATAAGCAGGAACATGTCTGCAGGCACGAGCTGCTGCTGTCACTTTGTGTTTAGTTTGAGTTGAGGGTTTCGGATCGGCCTCGTTGGTCCTGTTTGTTGTGTCAGAGGAGACCAGGTGGGCTTGGAGGGACCCTGCAGAGGCTGAGTGAACTGCTGACAGAAAAAGAGACCTGGGCTTCTATTGCTCTCTGACAGAGAGACCCTGTCCAGACCCGGGTCCACAGGCCTCGCTCATAAAGTCCAGCATGTTGAGAAAACACCGCTGCTTAACATAACACAATATTAGTGTTTAGACTGGTCTTAAGGAAATAGTTTGTACCCATAAAAAATATAAAAGTCATGCATGTATTTATATTTATTATTTGAAAGGCGGCACGGAAAAGGTTATAGATCTCCTTCAATTTTTGTCGACTATAGGCAGAAAAAAGTCATATTACGTATATTTTACATAAATCAAAATGTAAATATTAAAATTCTGAGTTTACACGATACTCTGAAGACGTAAAGAGAGGAAAAATGTCACAAAAGTTTACGTTAAAGCTTCAGTCCTCATAAAGTCCTCATGAATTTCTTCATTTAGAGTTCATTTCAAAGTGTTTTAGGAGAGCGTTTATGTTTTTGTACACAAGCCCACGTTCCAAAATCAACCAGACACCCTTACCTGATTTAATTTGTGTACTCAGGAGCTAATTAACTGTCTCACAGCCGTGTGGTTCACACTGTGTTTGTGTGCTTTGGGCTGAAACCGAATCTAACATTTTGGAGCTTTAGTTTTGCTGTGTGCATGTTTTCAGTCAAAAGATCTACCTGCGTGCTGCACGAAAAGACCTGTCTGAGATCAAAATACCCATAATAATAATAATAATAATACTCGTGAAACATATGGAAATTTTTTCTCTAAGTGTGTTGACATGACATGGATTACCGTAAAACCTTGAAATTTGAAACGTGCTCTTTGCTTAAAACTGTCGTGATGTGAAACACAAAAATAAATATTTAGTTTACATTTTTACCACTTTGCTTTGTGCACTGATGACTTTACTCAGGTAAAGATGTGAGCTAAACTTTCTTCTTTGCTCATCTAAAATACTTTGAAAGTTGTTTAAAGTCAAACACAAGTAAAACAGACGAATAAAAAGTACAGATTAGAAAAGAATTTACCAAAATTTTACAGCTTTTGCTATTTTACTTTGCACTGTCGGCGTTTAGAAACTAAAAGGTTTTCATACGAACGTTGCTTTTGGCTGCAGATGTGCTGCATGTTTGTCAGCTTTTTCTGCTAAAATTAACTATTTTAGAGTTTATATTTGGATCAATTCTGCGTTTTATTAAGACAATATTTTCAAATTTAACAGCTGAATTTGATTCATGTGACAGAACGAATTGAACAAATGACCAAAGAACTGACAGATTCTTTAAGTTTTTTAGATTAATTGATAAAATCTATAGTTTTTGCTTCTTTGCTATTGCTGTTAGTATAAGGTTTATAATGTTTTTATGTTCAATGTTACTTTTTATGTTTTGAATAATTTAGTTTTTATGCAAAAATTATTATAGGAAATTATTTACTTGATTTGCTTTTAGAATGCTTCTGTTTCATGTAAAATGTTTGTCTAAAAGCAGAGTTAGAAGACTGTTTTCCCTGCTGTTTCTTTTTTAAAGCTAAGCAAATAGCTTAAACTTTTTAGCTTTGACGTGATGGAAGATAACAGCTCAGAAACTGAACAAACACTCTGAAAATATTCCCTGAACTTTAAGAAAGCCTTGTTTAAAACTTGTGCTTTTTAGATAAAATAACTTAACCTAACTTAACCTTCTGAGCCACTTTCAAACAAGTTTTATGTTACAGTAATTGAATAAATGAACTTTTAAACATGAATATGACTGAAGCCTAATTGGATCAAAGTTCGTCTATATTTTGTCACCGTAATGTACTTTGTAGATCAACACTAAAATATAGACACGATTCTTTTATTTTGTGTTCAGTTAATATTTGAAAACACTGAAATTTTTGCAAATATTTGGTGTTTACTTGCACATTTCAAACAATTTGTTATGACTTTTTGCTCAAATTTAGACTGAATGGTTGTCCTGACACACAATATGCACATTTAAAATATAGATTATTATTATTWTTTTTTTTTTTAATTCTTGATAAGTTTTATAAAATACTACACCCATATTATAGGTTTTAACTTAAAAATGTGTTAATGAATATTTATGGTAACTATACATCTAACAAAACAACAAATCTTGCTAGTACTGAAATTACTGATATAGATTTTTTTTCGTCTTAATGTGATTGTAGTGAATGTCAGCTCAGCAGGTGCTTTGGTACATTACAAGGTGCTTCTAAAAAATCACGGGTCATTCATGATTTCTTTCTGCTTTTCTTTGTGTTTTGTTGCAGTTTTATGAGACGCTGGCCAGAGGGATGAACTCAGACCAGGAAAGGCCGTTTGTGTGCAGCGCCCCTGACTGTTCTCAGGTGAGTGTGTATGCTGGACAAAAGTTAGTGCTCCACTTTTTTCAAAGCTTTTATCATATGTGTGTGGGGCTGTTATTGTATCTGACTGTGGCAGTTTGTGTGGTGTGTATAAGGAAATGAAAGTGAACAAACGGGTGATGAACACTGTCTGAAAGTGCTGTCTTTACAGAAAAAAATAATAAATAAATCCCACAACCACCTGACACCAGATCTGAGAGATGTATCAGCTTCTCTGCTGGGTCGAACTCTGTTATTTTTATGGATTCAAAAAAGAACAGGGAACAAATTATGTTTCTGTGACAGGCTGCTGATAACGATTCTAAAGATTTTATTTAAAAGTAGTTATTTGCAAAGTTTTTTTTTATGTCACAACACTGACTCATCGTTTGAGTTTGCGAGACGTTATGTCGAAATAAGTAAACACCAAACAAACTAACGTTCTTATGAACATAGTCAGGCACTGGACTGAAAATGAGAATTAAAAAAGCAGACAAATTTCAAAGACAAACTTTGAGGGACATTCAAAAATGCTTTAAAAAAACTTTTGATTAAAGGGATCCCCGATCAATTGTAACATTAGACTTTATTTGATAAACATATATTTTAACTGTAAAACAAAGACTGTAAAAATACTGTAGCTGTTTAGTTTGGTAAATTGTTAAAAACATATTTTAACACGGACGCGGCCATTTTATTTACACACAAAGCATTCTGGGTAAATGATGACGTGGATAGGTCCTCGGTGCGAGGCTGATAGCGAGCTATATCCACCCTGAAGGTTAATCTTGGACAATATCTGATGATCGACTCTTT